ACGAGGAGCAAACTCGCTCGGTCCTACAAACCCGTTGTGAGACAACACCTACGAGGAGCCAACTCCCTCGGTACTACGAACAAGCAGCGAGACAACTTCCACGAGGAGACAAGTCGCGAGATCCAATATCCCGCAGCGAAACAACTCCCACGAGGAGACAACTCGCTCGGTCCTACAAACCCGTTGCGAGGCAACTCCGTCGATACTACTACCCACAGCGGGACAACTCCCACGAGGAGACAACTCGCTCGGCCCTACGAACCCGTTGCGAGACAACTCCCACGAGGAGCCACCGAGCTCAATAATAAGACTCGCTGCGAGACAACTCCCACGAGGAGACAACTCACCCAGAGCGAACTCAATACGCACACTCCTCAGTCACGCGTCATCCAACGCTCCTATAACTTCGCTGCGAGACAACTCTCTTGATGAGACAACTCGCTCACAATCTACTACACAATCGCAAGCTCAAGTTAGCACGATTACAACCTTAGAAACACTTAGAGATATTATGGGAATCTATATAGCCTGACAGCGTGATTACTCAAATATCTCTATTTGTTTTCGACGGGTCCTTCGTTAAAACGTGGCCACGGTCCAAACATACTTACGGTCCACGAGGTCTAACAAGGGGCACGATCCCCATCAAAAAATCTTGAGAGCCTGATCCACTCATTAAGTACATCACGCACAAGGCTATATATGTAAACACATACAAGCAACGCGCCAAACCATTGACAACGTCAATAAATAACAACTCTCACGAGGAGATAACTCGATCCGCGCTACTACATCGTCGCGGGACAACACCAACGACTCAAGTAACTTATATCACGACAACTTGGTCGTGCTACGCGCCAACGCGTCTTCACGCCCCTCCGACACACGCTCCAACACGTTTTTGCACACCATCAGGCCATACGCCAACGAGCGACCACTACAATTTCTACTCTCGACACGATTTGGAATCCATTCCGACATGGCCCCCACATCGACTCCGGAGTGGGGGGCTTAATGATATGCCTAATTGGGCCAACTCAATAGGCCTACAAATTATTTACCTACTAGGCCACGAGCCCAATATTGAAGACCACTATCAGCGAGGCCCAATCACCTTCAAGTAAAGTTTGGGCCCGAGAATCTCAACTAAGCTATAAATAATTATTTGAACTCATTCCTTAAGGTACGTCCTACTATCTGAGCTATACTTCAACATGTATTCTCTAGAATATTTCTACTATCCGCACGTCTGACTTGAGCGTCGGAGGGGTTTCCGCCGGATCAACCCCCGGCTTAGATTACGTGTTATGTGATCGCAGGTATCTCAAGGTCATCAAGTTCGTGAGCCAGTGATCCACTATATATATATATATATATATATATATATATATATATATATATATATATACTTTTTGTTCTTGGGCTGAAAATGATAGTGGTGTATGATGTCAATTTAATATTTTTGAAGGAAAAAATGCATTTGTTTAATTTGACAAATATATGTTTTCTTAATAATTCATGGAATTTGTTTTACCTGATTGGATTTATATTGCATGAATCGTTAAAAGATCCTTATACAATAACATGGGCATTGCGTTTTAAGATGATATAATGTTTTAGTGATACTTGATAGTATATTAGCATGTATTAATTAGACAGTGTGAATGAATTTTGCATTATAGATCTATTCTGTTTATTTGTGATTAACAATCGAAATAGAAAAATTCGATTCTCATTTGACTCCCACAATTATTGCTCTACGATCTGTCCCTCTTGTTATTATTTTTTATGTATTCATATTCTCATTATTTATATTTCATGTATTTCCTATTCCACATTCACCAAACCAAAGAAGAAAATTAAATAGACAATTTTATAGCAAGAAATGAAACCTTGGTTTATACAATGATGGAGCTTTGACAAGTCCTATAATGTATGTTATGGCATTTAAGATTTCATGCGAAATAGCTAATGGTGTGAGTGTAATACAGTTAAACCTCTATAAATTAATACAACGGGAACCATCATCATTCTGTTAATTTAGCGAAATATGAACTTATTGATAATTAATTATTATTAATTTATACATTAATTAATAAACTTATTAATTTATGAAATTATTTTTATGATTACTTTAAACAAATACATATTTTTTATTTTCTTAGGTATATATTATCTATTTTAACATTAGTACAATGTACTATAGAGCCCATTTCTCGAACAAAAGCTCTTAAAGCAGCAATGATATTGAACAATTTTCTGTTGAGTTATTCAAATACTATATCTGAAGTTCTAACCATGTTAAGAAAATTGAAGGACGAGATTGATGGTAATGTGAACTTCAGCAAGAAACAAGCGACGATAAAAATATTTTATCAAGCCTTCGTATATAACCTATGTATTGTACTATGTAATTTAAGAATTATTTTTATGCATTATTAATTCATTTATTAGACGGAGCTTCTTAAAATTTCTGAATGTGAATTATCTAAAAAATTTAGCGAATTATTAGATTTGCACGTTGTCCATGAGTCGGCATTGGGAAAAAATATTATTTAAATGACATTATTAATTTATCGGGTATTAATTTATGAAAATTCTACTGTATCAAGTTTGTACTACTTATATATTTTTTGTTTTAAAAGCAATAATTGGAACATAAATACTATACTACACACATGTGTAATAATTTGACTACTATGTATTGGGGTGAAAATAAAAAAAATGAAAAAATGAACCAAAATCGGAAAAATGAACCAATTTTGGATTAATCAATTGATGAGTGGTGGTTGCACAATCAAGTCGTCGGAGAATCACTAGTACTCACACTGTGAACCTTATGCTCAGATTTTGCCCGATTACACCCAAGTCGACAACCGGGGAGGTTCATTTCCAATTGGCAAAATTTGTAACAAAGGGTTGGATACGGATGGGTGGAGGAGAAAAAAATGGGGTAATTTCACCCAGTGAAAATAGAGTATTTTAGCAAATTGTCCTTAGTATTACCTTTTATTTGAGATCTTACATGCGTTGGGGAATGCTAAGACTCTTATTATGATATGGATTCTTGGATGGTTATAAATGAACGTCTATACCCTATTTATACAACTCCACCTCCTTAATGTAATGGTGACCGCTGATTAATTTAATCTAATGGCCAGTAATTGTTCTCACTCCAAATAAATTCTACAAATATCTGCATGAGAACTCTAGAAAGTCTTCTAAAATCTTCAAAGAATCTCTACACGACTGTTTTACGAAATTGAATATCAAATTAAAACCGAAATTAAACCCAAAATTGAAACCGAAAATCGAAAGCGCCGAAAGAGAAACCAAAACCAAAAAACATGGTCCTAATTTAGCCACCATCCTTTGGCCTAGCTTTGCTTGAAGGATAGTACTTAGCCTCTTTGACTAGGGATGGCCATGGGGCGGGTACGGGGCGGGTATCGCAATCCCCGCACCCACCCCGTTTAGAAAATCAAGCAACCCGCACCCGCCCCATACCCATTGCGGGTTGGAATTTTAGAACCCGCCCCCGACCCATTTGACGACCCGTTTTTCCTATATATATATATATATATATATATATATATATATATATATATATATATATATATATATATATATATATATATATATACTAATTACTAAATACAATTAAAATATAAATGCAAATCAACAATCATTTTATAAAATAACATATTACATCATAAATTAAAAGCAAGCATCGTTGTCTTTTAACAAGCCACCCAGTCACCTATGTTCGACAATACTTAATACAAAATAAATAGAAAGAAAATAAATAGAAAAATAATACATACAAGGGTATTATACGTAAATAAAAAATACGGGTGGTAAACGGGGCGGGTACGGGTTGGGTACGGGGGAAATTTTACTATACCCATACCCGCCCCTTACCCGTTGCGGGTATAAATTGTAAAATCCTTACCCGCCCCAATCCTAAACGGGGCGGGTATTACCCGTCTAAAATGGGGCGGGGCGGGGCAGGTACCCGCCGGGTCGGGTAATATTGCCATCCCTATCTTTGACATGTGAACAATGACAATTTTTTGGTTCAAAATAGGCGACATGTAACATCTCGGCCCCTACGAGTGTATCTATATCCGTTCCTAGAGGTGGACATCAGTGCATAATTTTTTAATCCAACCGATTCCTATCCGAAAGTTGTCAATATTAGAACATTTTTCATTCTTAATTCAAATATTCCAATTTTCAATTTTTTAAAATTTTATTGGAACAAAACTGAAGTACATATTAAATTTCAATTTCCGGTCCGATTTTAAGTTCGAAAATATTTCGGATTATACTATGAAAATTATACTTGTAAAGCAATATGATTATGTACTTTAATTTTTAAGTGACTAAAAAATTGAAAATTAAAAGTTCTATCACTTCCAATTCAAAATTTCCAAGGTTGGAACAAGTTTGTTCAATTTAATTTTCGATATTCCGATTTTTTTTTAATGAAATTGGAATTAGTTCTTCACTTCCAAAAAGAATCGGATTTCAAAAGTACTAATTTCGTTCTGATCCTTCCGATTAACAACCCTACTCTAGTGTATAGAGAAGATTTTATAGATTTTGGATAATGAATTTAGTACAATCTCGTATTTATAAATTCATGGTCTTGCAAATAGCATCAATCATATGACATAAATACGATCGCGACCATGTGTGTCTGTGTGTGTGTGTGTGTGTGTGTGTGTGAGAGAGAGAGAGAGAGAGAGAGAGAGAGAGAGAGAGAGAGAGAGAGAGAGAGAGAGAGAGAGAGAGAGAGAGAGAGCATAAGTTGTGGACATATTGACCATAATGAAACATAATTATTTGCAGGTGGCTTCTTACTCTTGCTGCCTTAAAGTAACAGGATGCGATTCTTGATAGACAATGCTAAACAAACAACAGCTCGTGCTATAACACAACTAGACGTTGTAATAATTGGTCCAACATTATTAAATTCTGCTAAGCAAACAGATTTTCGAACATCTTCAAGTCCTGAAAAGAACACGACGTGCTGTAAAATGGCATATTTATCTAACTATTTGGTTTGATTGATTGTGGAATAATGCAGTAGTACAATGTAAGCAACAAGAGAAAGAGAGAATACACAGAACAACAAACAAAATACGTAGAAAGATAACTGTGGCTTATTTTTCGGGGAGGGAGATATTCTATTATATAGGTGTACAAAACCACCGAAAGTCGTTATAACTGAGTTACAGATGGAAGTTACGTAGGACTTACATTTCCACTAACACTATAGAATAGACATGGGAAGTTAATAAACTAGTGGGAAGTTGAGAATCATCAAGTGATTATATTAGGAAACCCCACATGTAATTAAGAGTGAGAACTTAACAATGCATGATCATGTGAATAGATGTACGATCCTGGGGGTAATTTCGTCTTTTCCGATGAAAAATCACCCAAACCGAAATTATCTCATTGTTCACACTGTGGCCATCCAGGCAACAAGAAAGCCCATCTCAAGTTCCCGTGCGAAAACTGCAATTCGCCAGCTGGTGAGAGCTGCTCGAAGAAACCGGTGGGATTCAAATGTTTCTGTTCGTCGTGTGATTCGGTATTTACACAAACACTTGTTTTCTTCTTTTCATAGTATTCAGCGTGTTAAAGTAAGATGTTGTCAACTGGACGAAAGCTTCTGCAGTTTCGAGTGGTGCAGAGTGTGCAGTTCCTGAAGAATTTATTGCACGTGAAGATTGTGTTGAGCTCGACGAATCTGTTGATTTGATCGAGGTGAAAAAACGGGATAATCGCAGACGAGTATAACGGAGTTTTATCGTTCAACGAAAGGCGTTAAGGCTGAGGAGAATGTAGATAAGACTAGTGTTGAAAGGAATAGTTCGAGTTCGACATTTTCAAAGTCTGCGAGGCGCCGTCTTTTATTTGGTTAATTACTTAATTCTTTTTTTTTTTGGAAAGAGGTTAATTACTTAATTCAGTTTAAGTAATTACTTAATTCTGTTTATGGTAACTTGGCCCACACGAATTTCTTGGTGGGGTATGATCTTGTGAAGGAGACGGTGTCGTTTAAGCCCACTGATTGTGCCAAATATTAATTTGATTCATTTGATTAATGTATGAGTTCCATTCCATTAGGGGGGAATATTTTATTAACTGGAGATCTATGTATTTAATTGATAAATGATATAAAATTTCAGTATATTGGGATATTTTTATACTATGCTATTTTTGTACTACAATATTTGAAGATTTTAGTTTCCATTTTTTTTTATAATAATAAAAAAAGAAAAAAAAAATAATGCAGGATTTGTGTGAATTAAATCGTAAAAACTATTCAATCAAAAGTATTTATCAATACACTGTCTACAGACTTTTTCGTTTCAATCAAAGCTATTTACTCTGTCTTACATACTCTCTCTCCTTTCAATCAATCAATCAAAGTAAAACTATTTATCATCCAGCACTCTTCTTCGCCGCAGCAACAGTCTTCGTCTTCGCCGCGGCACCACCTTCAGCAGCAGTCTCCATCCTCCAGTCGGTGGTTTCCTCCATCAAGTCAATGACATTCTGTTTCAGCTTCTCCATTTCTTCCGTACGTAGCCGAAAAACGAACACACATTTACGATTTACCCGCAAAAAAATAATAAATTACATCCTTAAATAAAATTTAAGCATAAAATAGATATATATGTTGTAAATCGCCCTAATGGTATTGCTTTTCGGTTTGATGATTGTGGAAAATAAAGTATAGCAACAATAATAAAGGATAGAGAGAGAATGCAAAGACAAAAATCCGTAGAGAGAAATTAATAAGGGTGTAAATATGGGGAGGGAGAATTCCATTATATAGGTGAAAAACCACCGGGAGTTACAAGAGAAGTTACACAAGAGGTTATTCTACCACTAACACATAATGGGAAGACATGGGGTAGGTTAGTGATTTAGTGGGAAGTTGGGTGGTTGTGTTAGGAAACCCCACACACATATTATTTACAACACTCCCCCTTGGGGATTCCTATCAAAACCACTATTGTGCATTTCATGTTGCCTCATTAAAACCTTCCGAGTAATAAAACCCAGTGGGACAAAACAACCTCGGTTAGGAAAAATAGTACAACGCACAATCTTTCCAATCAGCTATATTGCCTCGTTAAAACCTTTAGCGGGTAACCAAAAACCCTGTGGGAAAATAAATCCCGCAAAAAAGGAAAAAGAGTACAATAGGGCATCTAGGTATCTTCTGGATACTGAGTACCTACAGGGTACTCCCCCTCAAGTTAACTCCCCCTGATGTCTTTAAGGGAGCGAGCTCAGATAATCTACGCAGGCCAATAGCCTTAACATGCTTTTCAAAAGTGACTTTAGGTAATGACTTAGTAAATAAATCAGCGCAATTATCCTGACTTCTGATCTGCTGGATCATTATTTGTTTGAGCTCTTGCTGTTGCTGATTGAAGAAAAACTTTGGAGCTATATGCTTGGTGTTGTCACCTTTAATGAAGCCCGTCTTCATTTGCTCAATGCACGCTGCATTATCCTCGAATATGATCGTAGGATCTTTTGTGGTAGCCAATCCACAGGAATCTCGAATATGCCCATTCATGGCTCTAAGCCATGTACATTCACGCACTGCCTCGTGAAGTGCTAAAATCTCTGCATGATTCGATGAGGTGGCAACTAAGATCTGTTTTGTAGACCTCCAAGACACAGCTGTGTTCCCAATGGTAAACACATATCCAGTTTGGGAACGAGCTTTGTGTGGGTCTGACAGATACCCAGCGTCAGCATAACCCACAAGCTTTGCATCCTTTAATGATGCATAGGGATAGAACAAACCCATGTCTATTGAACCCTTAAGGTAACGAAATACGTCCTTTACACCATTCCAATGGCGGCGTGTTGGTGCTGAGCTAAACCTAGCTAGCAAATTTATCGCAAATGCGATATCAGGTCGAGTACATTGAGCTAAGTACAATAATGCGCCTATTGCACTTAGGTACGGCACTTCAGGTGCTAACACTTCTTCGTCCTCCTCCACAGGACGGAACGGATCCTTCGACCTATCCAATGATCGGACTACCATAGGCGTGCTCGATGGTTTCGCTTTATCCATATTAAAGCGTCTTAACATCTTCTGGATGTAGTTCGATTGATGGACCAAAATTCCATCAGCACGGTGTACTATCTCAAGTCCGAGACAGAAATTAGTCCTACCGAGATCTTTCATCTCAAACTCATGTTTTAGGAGTTGGGCTGTTTCACGGACTTCTTCAGGAGTCCCAATCAAATTCATATCATCAACATAAACTGCTACAACAGCAAACCCAGAACATGTTTTCTTAATAAACACGCAAGGACAATATCATTGTTCACGTATCCCCTTCCGAGCAAGTATTCACTTAGGCGATTATACCACATTCTTCCAGATTGTTTCAAGCCATAAAGTGATCGTCTCAACCTAACTGAGATCGTGTTCCGTGGTCTGGAACTAATTGCTTCGGGTAATCGAAGTCCTTCAGGAACTTTCATATATATACTTGTATCTAGATCCCCATATAGATAAGCTGTGACCACATCCATGAGCTGCATAGTCAGTTCCTCGGATACAACCAAACTGACTAGATATCTGAATGTAATAACATCCATAACAGGAGAATATGTCTCCTCAAAGTCAATCCCAGGTCGCTGAGAAATCCTTTGCTACGAGACGAGCCTTATATCTCATAATCTCGTTTTTCTCATTTCTTTTCCTTATGAATACCCATTTATATCCCACGGGTATAACTCCAGGAGGTGTAGGAGCTATCGGCCCAAACACTCCTCTTTTTACCAATGAGTCAAACTCAGCCTGGATTGCTTTTTCCCAATTCGGCCAATCATCCCTCTGTTTACATTCATCAATTGATCGAGGCTCAATATCATCACTCGATACAATTTCAGTAGCTACTGTGTAAGCAAACACATCATTGATGATTATTTCATCCCGATGCGAAACCTCATTCATGCATGAATAACTAACCGAGATTTCTCTATTCTCGGGAATGGATACTAATGTCGAGGCGTCCCCCGATTTCGTCTCCAAGACGGATCCATAGTCCGGAACTATTTCATGAGATGGATCGGGTGGGATCCCATTATTACTATTGCTAACCTCATTCAACTGTTGGGCATTCATCCGCTTCCGGGGATGAGAATCCTTTGATCCAATTGGTCTCCCCCTCTTCTGGGCAGGGAGATATGATTGGTTAGCAGGGATTGATGCCTTCCCACGTTTGTCGTTCTGGACTTTATCCTGCAGCGTACGTTTGCAGCTGGTATATGAGATCTCGTCACTTTTTCTAAGTCAGAGAATGAGTCTGGCATATTATTGGCTACTTTATGTAGATCTATGAGTCTACTTACTTCCAACTCTCTGACTGAAGTAGGGGGATTGTGATGAGACACAGTGAGGTCATTCCACACGACTTCACGCCGTTCTTCATGAACGTTAGTGTGAACGTTCTTTCATCCCCCTAACGGCGGGAAAACAGTCTCATCAAAGTGACAATCCGCGAATCGAGCGGTAAAGAGATCGCCTGTCAAGGGTTCTAAATATCGTATTATAGATGGTGATATATAACCAACATAAACGCCCAATCTACGTTGAGGTCCCATCTTGGTCCGTTGTGGCGGAGCAATCGGCACATAAACTGCACACCCAAATGTGCGTAAATGAGAAACTTTTGGTGTACTTCCGGACACCAACTGTAACGCAGAACATGGTTGGGTTGCAGTGGGCCTCAATCGCAATAACATAGCTGCGTGCAATATTGCATAGCCCCAAGCAGAGATTGGAAGTTTGGTGCGCATTACCAAAGTTCGTGCAATCCTCTGTAAATTCTTAATAAATGCCTCTGCAAGGCCATTTTGGGTATGGACATGTGCTACAGGATGTTCTATGTCAATACCTAAGGACATGCAATATTCGTCGAAAGACCGCGACGTAAACTCTGCAGCATTATCTAGTCGAATAGACTTAATGGGATAATCTGGATAGTGTGCTCTCAATCTTATTATTTGAGAGAGGAGTTTAGCATAAGCAACATTCCTCGTAGACAACAAATCGACCTGTGACCACTTAGTCGAAGCATCAACCATCACCAAAAAATATCTACAAGGTCCACATGGTGGTGAGATGGGGCCACATATATCTCCTTGGATTCGTTCCAAGAAGCCAAGAGAATCTTTACT